CCTTTTCCATTAGATACAACTGCAGAAAATTCTAATAAAACTGATACATCATCACAATTTTTTGAAACAACCATTTCAACCAATCTTACAAATAAAGCTTCAAGCTCGACTTCTGTCACTACCAATGAGTTTGCTCCAGTACTTCCAAATGTAATAAAGCCACAACATCTACGTGAAAACTCTAATAGCAATTGCGAAAACGCAAGTTCTTCCATAAAACGCAGTATTGGTGAGATCGACACGCCTCCTTCAGACTCAGCAATTTCATCAGAAAATCTGTTTGCAAAACCCAAACCCTCTAAACAAAAAAAACCGCGCTCATCTAAAGTCCCATCTACACGGGAAACTCTTGAAAATTTCATTGATAATCATACCCCACCATTCGTTTTAAATTTTCACCAATTGTCCTTACTGATTGATAATGTCCAAGGCTCCACCGACACTATTAGCGTCGTTAAAGAATTCACAACTGATATGGCTGGTTTACTCCATCTTTTAAAAAGCAGCTATCAATATGCAAATGATAGATCTACAAAAAGCAAGTTTACAAAACTTCAAAAGAAACTACTCAACCATTTAGCGAAAGAGATTTCTGACTTAGATAGTGACTCTTCTGTAGACAATTGTTCAGTATCATCTAACTCCGAATCTGTTAACAGCATTCAACTCGACACTTCAATGGAACATTGATGGATTTTTCCATCGCCTCCCTATGCTACAGCTTCTTTTATTTGAATATTCTCCAGATATTATTTGTCTACAGGAGGCAAACTTAAAGACCAATCAGTTGTACAATTCAAAAAATTTTACTTGTTTCCGCAAAGACCGTACAGATGCAAGTCGTGCAAGCGGTGGTGTAGCAATACTAGTAAACAAATCTATCGAGGCGATACAAATTCCAATAGTCAGTGATTTGGAGGTCGTTGCTATCAGAATCATATCTACCAGTTTAGTATCTATTTGCAATGTTTACCTTCCTTGTGACAAACAAGTAAGTTCTGATAGCCTTTGCAGGTTATTAGAGCAACTGCCACGTCCTCGTATAATTATAGGCGACTTTAATGCTCACAACATAATATTATAGGATTCAGATCACACGTCTGTCAGAGGTTTAAGTATTGCCGATATCTTAGATCAACTTAATATAAATTTTCTTAATGATGGTAGCCCTACAAGATTCAATATTGCAACAGGACATTCCTCATGCATTGATTTAACTCTCTGCGACCCAAATTTAGCTCATTGTATCAGTTGGGATGCTCAAACCTATACATATGGTAGTGACCATTTTCCAATCCTAATTAGAAACCATAATTATCCCTCATCAGGACCCATATTCATATCTAAGTGGAGAATAAAAAATGCAAATTGGCAAAAATTCTCCCAATATATCGATAATAACATTTCCAGTTTGCATATAACAGACGATGTTAATTCGAATGTAGAGCAGTTTAATCAACTTATCTTAAGCGCCGCCCACAAATTTATTGGTAAATCTAAATCTATTAAAGGCCGATGTCCTGTACCATGGTGGAATGACCATTGTGCGACAGCAATCCATGAATGTAAATCAGCCCTAAACCGATACAAAAAACATAAAACATCCGAAAATAAATTAAAATTCAAAATACTTAAAGCAAGGGCACAGCTAACTGTCAAAATGGCTAAAATATTCATGGAACAAATACGTATCGAAAATTAATAGCAATACCTCCCTCTCTGATGTCTGGAACAAAGTAAGGAAAATTTCTGGTTTACATACTTCATATAATTTCACGGGGCTAAAAGAAAATAATAATTTCATAACATTGAGCAGCGATATTGCAAACATTTTTGAAAGAATCTATCAAAGCCACTTATCGAATCAACAGTATACCACCAATTTTCTCAAAGCCAAAGAATTCGCCGAACAAAATCCCATTTATCTGTTTGAAGCACAAAATAATTCATTAAACCATCCATATTACTTTTCAAGAGATAAACTCATCTATTCTTAACTTGAAGGACTCTAGTACTGGGCCTGATGATATTCCTTCAGCATTTCTGAAACATCTCCCTGTTTCAGCCATAACGTATCTCTTAAACGTATTCAACAGAATTTGGCTTCACCACCAATGGCCAGCTATTTGGACAAATGCAATAGTCATTCCTCTCCTAAAATCTAATAAACCTAAATATGACCCAGAATCATATCGACCCATATCTCTGACATCGACAACCTGCAAATTACTAGAAAATATTGTTAACTCCAGACTCTCATGGGTTTTAGAAAATGCCAATTTCTTAATCTCAGAGCAAAATGGCTTTAGAAAAGATCGGTCATCCACAGACATTTTAGATTTGAAAAGTAAAATACATGAAGCTCTTGCTACAAACCAAAAATGTGTTGCTATATTTTTTGACTTAGAGCGTGCATTTAATAAAGCTTGGAAATAAACATTTTAAGACAACTTCATAAATGGAATATTCAAGGTCACTGCCTTGCTTTCATCAAAAACTTTTTAAATAACAGATCTTTTCAAGTAAAAATAAATAATATCTTTTCAAATATTTATAGTTTGGAAAATGGTACACCCCAAGGATCCATACTCAGTCCAACACTATTTCTGGTAGCAATAAACGACATCATTAAAAACATTCAAGCACCCTTACAGGCTCGTTTATACGCTGATGACCTAGTGGTATCTATTAAAGGTAAAAATATTTCCTCAATGTCATCAATTCTTCAAAACTTTTTAGATACTCTCGAAAATTGGTCCAACTTTACAGGTTTTCAATTTTCAATAGAAAAATCAATAGGAGTCGTATTCTCTTTAAGCTCCTTGCCACAACCTCCTAACCTAAGAATGTATGAGAAACAGCTGGAGTTTAGAGATCACCACAAATTCTTGGGTTTAATCTTCGATTCAAAGTTAACATGGAAAAATCACATCTCACAACTCATCCTTTCCTGTAATAAAAGATTAAACGTATTAAGATCTCTCTGTAATAAAAACTGGGGCTCAGACCAATCCACTCTACTCCTCCTGTATAAATCTTTAATACGTTCTAAGCTAGATTATGGAGCAATTGCCTATTCCACTGCTAATAAATCTCTACTGAAATCATTAGATATTATTCATAATAAAAGTCTTAGACTAATCTTAGGGGCTTTCACAACTACACCTGTATCCAGCATTTATGCTCTTTTAGGAGAACCATCGCTACATCACCGCCGCATGTACCTCGCTCTATCACATGCAGCCTCAGTCGCTGGAAATATTTCAAAGCCAATATATCAAAATACTTTTACAAATAAATATGTAAACTTATTCCAAGATATTCGCTATACTAAAAAACCATATTACGAAAGAATTAAATCCATTCTTTAAAACCTAAACATTAATTTTCCGGAGGTTTTCTCCTCGGATATTAAATACCCCGAGCCTTGGCTGATCAATATACCAACTTGTGATGCATCTCTAGAGTATATAGATAAATCTAATACACATCATTCTCTGATTCGGTCCAAGTTTAAGGCCCTCATAAATAAGTACTCCGACTACCATAAAATCTACACAGATGCATCTAAATCCGAAGACGGAGTGGGGGCATCAATCGTTTCTTCAGAAAACAATCTTCTTTTCCGTTTACCCTCAGCATGCAGCACATATTCAGCTGAACTCTACGCCATATACCGTGCTGTGAAACTTCTTAACGAGCTTACACTCACAAAAGCCCTTATCATAACAGATTCCCTTAGCTCTCTAAACTCATTAAAACACATTTTTTCGAAACATCCTTTTGAAAAGTTGCTAAAATACCAGCTTTCCCAAGCTCATGAACATGGAAAAAGCGTCCAATTTTTATGGGTTCCCTCACACGTTGGAATAACAGGAAATGAAGAAGCTGACAGGATTGCACGAGAGGCTATTTTAAGTGATTTGTCGGAGCTGATAGACAAGTGTGTTTCCAGTGACTTAAAAGCTTATTTTAAAAATAAAGTGTTGTGTTTGTGGCGAAATAAGTGGTCTCAAACTAATTCCAATCTAAATAAAATTAAAAATAATGTGTCTCAGTGGTTTCCATCGTCGCGCAATAGACGGGAACAAATTGCGGTTGCGCGTTTACGTCTAGGACATACCAGATTAACGCACTCCTACCTTTTCACAAAGAAAAATCCACCTATATGTGATCAGTGTAACGTCCGATTAACAGTCGAACACTTTTTAATAATTTGTAGTAAATATGACCAAGAAAGACAGCGCTACAAGATCCCAAACGCTCTACCACAGGCTCTAGGTCAAAACTGTTCCTATGAAAATATAGTGAATATTAGATCATAAACTTTTTGTACAATCTGTAGGTGTCTAACTTTGTTATTTATATTTTGTTCCGTCGCTAATAACCTTTTGGTGGATGCGACATCTTTTTCTAATAAAAAAAAATATCTGCCAAACAACAGTAATCTAATTAAACTTTATCAAAGAAATTTGATAATTACAAGTTATAGAAATTGCACACCCACACAATTGTTAATCTAATTTCATTCATTGTCGTACAACTATCACCTTGTAATAAAAATTTTCAATAAATTAACACATATTTCGAAAACATATCTCTTGAATAAATATAAATAACTTTGTATGAATTAAATAATACAGAACATCACTTTCATTTAACAAACAATCACATTATAACTTTTTTCTACTTCATTGGTTAATATTTATTTCCTCAAGAAACTTCCCCGTTATTTATCAAACAGTTGCAATAGTAAAAACTGAAGATCGTCATCATCAGCTACTACAGGATAGTTTGAACTATGTTCTCCCAACCATTAATAAATCGTGTACCGGAATGTAAGTAATGTTTTGTTTATTTACTAATTAATTGCAATTCAATAGACTATTTTATACCAATTTGTGGGTCTTACTTTGTCTTTGTCTTTAAACAGTTTATTCATGACAAATTAAACTGATAAGCTGAATACTAAACACAAAAAAGAATAAAATGCTACTTACTTTGAATTTGGGCAGCGACTCTCCTAGTTCGTGGTACGATTTTGTCTTTAAACACTTGACGATGTTTACAGAATTATCATCTGGACAACCAACCAATTTGGCCTGTTTTTTAGCTATGTCCAACTGATTGTGGGGAAGTGACCATGCACCAACAGGGGAACCGCTTAATGCTGCTGCTTTGTGAAATAGTCCTAAAATATTAGTTATTAAGGTATGAATATATAAAAATAGTTTAGATTAAAAATATGATGTATAAAAATGTATAAAAAATAGTATCTCTGAAGTCACGAAGTTTATATTTAAAATCAGAGAAAAAGTGTATTTACCTTGAGATAATGGAGACACAAGATGTAAAACGACACTCCAAGCACCAGACCCATACCCAAGAATAGTTACCGATTCCGGATCGCCACAAAATGATTCTATGTTTTGTTTAACCCATTTTAGTGCTTCTACTTGATCTTTTAATCCGATATTTCCTGGAGCTTCCTTATCACCAGTGCTTAAAAACCCTAAATAAACAGAAATGACATAATAATGATCAAATACAGTAAATAAAACCAAATAAAATACACTTCCAAAAATCACTTACAGAAAAATGCAACAAAGGAAGAAACCTGTTGTATGGGAGTTTTACAGAGACTGGAAAAGTTAGACAGACTGGAAAAAAGTGCAGATAATGCAGTAATGGGAAGACTTCTGTATAGGCGAAAATAAACACTATATAATCCAGTTTACAAAAAGAAGCTTGAACATAAAAATTAATTAAAAATTAAGAATTTCTGATAAAACAGAACATATTTATTATAAGGGTTAGCAATCAAAACAAAAATAGGAAAAAACATTTTTAATTATTCTCATGAATGTAAATGGTTCCCATTGTGTTAATAAAGTAAGAATGGCCAGGTAAATGCATAAACGTAAACAGCTGAGTACAAAATACTTATACTACACTATTTTCTAAATAAATTGGCTTACCTATTTTATAGTACAGTAAACCTTAAAACTACTGTTAAGTCGTACACAAATACAACAACCGCACCTATGCAAAATACCAAGTTAATCATGGTACAACATTCGATCTCTCGGTTATCGATAAACATAAATACTGTAGAAAATAAAAGGAAAGACACTTAGATTTGATTTCACGTATAGTACCTCTGTATATTCGCTTATACGTATATCCGAAAATTTCTAATTGTCGAAACCAAATTCAGATTTTTACTTTAATCTGTGCCTTCTAAGAATTGCAAGACAAAACAGACGTTGATAAAGATGTAATTAGAAAAATGGGGAATCTAAAATTGCACTGTAGAAAATCTTTTTTCAATAAAAACTAAAAGTGCTATTGAGTATATTACTGAAATAATCCAAAATATTTGTTATAACTCCAAAAATATAATAACATAAACAATATATCTTGAACTTATATCTGGATCTAACTTGGAATTCTACAACAGTGGTCGCCAACCTCTTCAATGTGTTGAGCTACTTTGTTAATGTTGAAATAAATAGCGAGCTACCCACACGAAAGCCACGTAACGTAACGTAAATGAAATAATCCACAGTTAATCTATCATTATATATATATTTATTTTACTGTTTAACTGGTAATACACAATACATATGTAATAATAAACTAATAACAAAATAACTAATATTACTAGTACGTACTTGTTCATAGCTACATTCCTACCTATCAAACGAAGGTATCTGAAAAATAAACACAAACTTTTATCCAGCCACAACGGCATGTCACGTATGATTTAAAAATAGTTAATAATAACAACAAAAAAGTAACGCACTATCATAAACATAAACATTGAAAAATAAAAAAGCACGTTCAATGAGAAGGCTGACACTCAGACTCATCGATAATTTTTTTTAATGTTTGCAGTATAATTTGATGCAGCCATTCGAATACAATTATCCAAATGTTTATCTGTAAGTAGATTGCGATATTTCTTCTTAATAAACTTCATATTGGAAAAAGAAGATTCACACAAATAGGTTGAACTGAATAATGCTTTCACTTTCAAGGTAACACGGCATAGAACTGAATATTTGTCTTTACTTACAATAGGCCAGATACATTCAGTACTTGAGACTAACGATTTTAAGGCCAAATCATTTTGAAACTAAATGACTTCCATTTCTGTTGCAGCGATGTCTTCGCCAAAGTTCTGCATAACACAAACTGCAAACTGCTGGATATCAATTTCCATAAAGGGTGAAACAACAAACTGCGCTACTAAAGTCATTTCATTGAAATCCTTAAAACGATTTTTAAAGTTACTCTTCTGTGTAGAAATTATTTCTACATGATATTTGTTGTCATAGGGTTCTAATGGATTTTGAGATATTTTTTCTGAAAGAATAAGAAAATGCTTGGAATCGCTGTTAATTAGGTTTTGTTCCCAAAACTCTAGCTTTTTGATAAATGCTTTTATATCAGAAATCATTTCCGTTAGTTCTTTGTCTCTCCCCTGAAGTTACAAATTAAGTTCGTTTAATTTCTCTGTAATGTCCACGAGACAACCAAAATCTCTAAGCCAGATTGAATTTTGTAGTTTCGGAGTCGGTTCATCGCGTTGTTTGAAAAATTCAACTATGCCAGATAGGACATCATTAAAACGTTTCAGCACCCATCCTCTACTTAACCATCGGACTTCAGAGTGAAGGAGTAGGTCCCCGTATTGACAGTCAACTTCATCGGCCAAGGTTCAGAATAATTTTCATTGTAACGCTTGAGCTCTAATATTGTTCACAATTTTTACCACCAGTTTTATAACGTTGCGTTGTTTAGTTTCAGGGAATTTCCACATAACGCCTGCTGATGGATAATGCAAATAACGAATCAGCAGCTTCTAAAAACGCCTGTTTTATCATTTCCCCGTCTTCATAAGGTTTCTTTTTTGTGCAATTATCTGGGACACATGGTACGATGCTTCAGTTGCAGCCTTATTTTGTCGACTATTCTTAAAAAGATTGATTGTTGTACAATTAACTGTTTCAGTTTCTCCTTTCCAGAATGTACAGTTTTATGATGTCTCTCAATATTTCCTTTTTTAGCAACAGAGACCAAAGTATTACACATATTTTTATCTTTAACTTCTGTAAAAAGTATTGTTCTTCCCATTCCGATTGAAAGTGGTATGTCTTTACCTTCTTACAACTGCTTACCATAATATTATTTTTGTTATTCTCTACTAACCCAACCGCTGGACGTTGGTTACGCGTTCAGTTTTAAACTAAGCGCAGTGTCGCCGCACCGTGCGTATTTATCCCGTTCAAAGCTATCCAGATCGTTCTCGAACACTAACGCGCTGGTCCGGCTGGTCGGTTCTATAAATAGATGATTCTAGCTTGACGGCGTCAGGGGCAGATCGCTCACCGCAACGTTGCCTCTGTTTATGTTTAATATTATGAAAATTAGATTTTTTTGTGGAATTTTCGGAAGCTTCTCTGATTTTTGCAGTTTGTATTTATTAAATTAAAATCGTTGTGAGAGCTATCAGAATTGCCTCTGCGAGCTACCGGTAGCTCGCGATCGACAGGTTGGCGACCACTGCTCTACAATTTTATTTATTACTACTATATGCTACTATACTACTTTTCTGTGCATAAAATGTACGTACACACAAATTTTATTTATAGAAAAGTCTAGAAATCTTTAACTATACCTCCAAAAATATAAACGGTTATTATAAAAGCTAAAAATGCGGTTACTTGACCAGTTATGCTTTATTGTTAAGTCATGTCTGAGTAAATACTACCACAACTTAAACTGTTGTTAGACTGTCTGATTACTACCTCATAAGAGCAGAAGTTCTATGGGGTAGAGTTCTGAGATCGTCGTTAACGTGATGCTTCTCTCTAGCAAATTATACCCTGATAACCCTGATTATACCCGTAAAAACTACCCTTAAGTTACTATAAATAGTAGAAGGGAAGCTAACCGGTTGCAAATTTACAGTAGAATGATTTCAATATCAATATCAAGTGAATCAAGCAAACACAGAAAACAAAATAAGGGTATTGCAGGTAAAACTCTGAGTTAAAAATATTAATTGGCCAATAATTAATATATCCAGTTATATAAAATAGAATACTTAAACTCATTAGGACCTACTTGATATGGAGAGTTATCGACAATGTTTTCTAGGCGTTCGAATTAAATGCCCCACTTTACATACCGAAAGTAAAGTCTATAACGTTATTGAGATTGTGAAGAAACCTGAATATTTTGTGATCAGAAGAACAGCATATATAGTTTTGAGGGAACCGTTGGATGATTATAACAGCTTAAAGCCTCACTTAAGTAGAAAAAGTTGAAAAAAAACTGTTTGTGTACCTAAAGTTCCTATTCTGTAGTTAAAGGTTACCAATACAATTTCTTCATCTAGAAAATAGTTTGGTCCTGCCCATCTGCTATCACCACTAAAACTATGAAAACCTCCAGGATAAATGTATACGAGTACTGGATATTTGGTTTTTTCGCCACCATTTGGAAGCTAAAAGAAATAAAATTAATAAAAAAAATGTTAATAGTAAATTTTAATACTTGATGTGATGTTAAATGGCCACATCCAAGGTAACTTGAATTGCTATAAAATGAAGCATTCCAATGTGCAAAGTAATAAGAGTTATCCTGCTTATGTTGCTCAAATCGAAATACACAATTCAGACTTATGCGAAACTTGTCAAGAACAAGGAGATCTCAATCACTTCTTTTTTAAGTGTTCCAAATATCTTCAGCATTCAGGAACTCTTTTAAACAACTTGCAAACTCTGCAAATATTTTCTCCATATCAAATAAATAACCTGTTGGCCACTAATAATAAAGAAGTCTATGATTGTCTGATTAAATTTATACATAGTGCAAACGTGTGTCTGTAGTAAATCTTAGCTAAGCTCGTTAACCTTTGTTTGAACTCAATTGTTATTTACCTTTCTTTCCGTGACCTATTGCTAGTAATGTCTTAAACAAATGTCCTGATGAATCCCTGGACGATAAGTGGGTATCCCTGATTTTCCTAATATTTGTTTTTTTTGCTATAATGTTCTCTTTTTGTTTGATTCAGTTATAGGGTTTTTATGAGCTTTTTTAACTCGAATAGATACACTTTTTGCACTAGCAATTATTAGTATAGATACACTTATGTATGTGTACACTTGTATATGTACACTTATGTGTATATACATACACTTTTTTATTTTCTTTTATTTTTCATTTATTATTTCTCAACACGTAATTGGCTAAATAGCTAAGTGCTTAAACCACAAAAAAAGTATTAAGAGTATTTAATACATTAATTTGATAATGCTTACTTTTGTGGTATATACATTTATAATTAGACAGTCTTCTGATACAGGATCTGTAGATGGTTGTGGGCACAGAGGACCATCTTGAGTGGCATTTAAAACTCCTTCCCACTTTTCCACGGGCACTGCAGGCTAAAATAAGATATTAAATAATATTTTCGCGGATATTAATTGTTAAATATATTCAGCAGTATTAAATAATAATACCAAAATACATTACTCAAGGATAAAAGAAAATGTGAAAACTATTTTTAATGTATCATTATTAAATATATATCAGAGGATTCCACGACTTTATTAAGAACTGTAAATTATTTACCTTAAGACTTTTGGACGTACCTTTTTGAACAGTGTGGTGTGAGTTTATCTTGAAGTTTCTCTACAATTACTATAATTATATGTAACTTTTTATAAGAAAAATAGGACATGTGGTCATTGTAACTAGTTACGAAATGAAATTACTAAAATAGATGAACTCGCACACGCTTTGTCCAAAGATGGTGCCGTCGAAATCCAATCAGATTGGTTTAAAACTTGTGTGTTTAAACAACAAATTTAAAACTAATATATACCATTATTGTGAAGTATAAAGCAACCTAATATTCAACTAAATATTGCATTGTGTTCTTCTTCAATTTTTACTCCGAGATCGAAATCATTTTGGCAATTATAATTTTGTCAAATTAAACTTTTATCCAATTAGGGTAACGGGTAGAATGATTGGCCACTTAAGGAATTGCCAATTGAATAAAACTTGTAAATTGTTATCTTTTAAAGTTAAATATTTTGTAAGGGTTTTTTAATAGTAATAAAACATCAGATTTTATAAAAACTCAGGTTATTTTAAACAGGAATAATAATGTATATTAAAAATAAACACAAATCTAAAAACTTACAGAACTCCACAGTTATTGGCCATACAGACACAGTTATTGGCATATAGAATTACAGTCATTGGCCATTCATAAAATATCTAATTTTCTTTTTTTTGTTCGTGCAGGTAAGGCACACAAAACTATTTAAATTTTCAATTTCTTGTTGTTTCTTTGCTCAAGTACCAATATGGTAACCTCTAACACCAAGTAGAGATTTTATTCCAATTTTTGATTTAGATATATTATAGGAACAATATTAACACAATCCTGTATACAAAATATTATTTACAGGTGGGTTGGTGTCCTCTGATTGTTTCACCGTTATATCTAAGAGAATTTGTATTTTTTTATGTTCTGGATATCCCCCAGTTACAAAAAATAACTTTCTTTTAGCCGACTCACCAGCACATTTTTCTTTGCTGGTTTCCAAATTTGTACATTTGCTTTGGGATGTATTCTTCAAATTTGATGAATTCATATGGTTGCAATATGTTATCAATTGTGGGCAGATTAACATTTTCCTTTGCAGAATCAGAAAATTGGTTTCGTAACAATTCTTGTTTTTCTTTGACTTTGAGGAAAACAACATCTGGTGTATGTACTCTAACTCCACTTTTCAAAGTAGAGCTTTTAATTGTATGATCAATAAGTGTGTCTGCTTTCAAAATATATATGCTATAAATAAAATTTTGTATCTGCAATATCAACTGTATTTACGGTAACATTTTCTTTATTCTTCACCACAGTTTGACATTTTTTTGCTCCCGGAATTAACTCTTGTGGCAATTTTTATTATTACTTTCATCTTGATTTTCCTATTTTTTGACCTTTATTGTTTGCTTTTGCGTCAATTTGCTTTTGTTTTCGTTCTAATTTTATTTTTTCTTGTTCTGCCTTTTTTTTACTTTAATACTGCCCGGTTCCAATTTGCCTTTAATGGTTTAAATGCAGCAATATCTGCAGGTTGTATAATTCTGGTTACATTGGGATATAAGGACACTAAAACAATTTGTAACTTTGAACATAATACACTGGTTTGAATGGTTAAGTGAGTTTTATATCAATCAAAGAACAAAATGACTGAAAAATTAGTGTTTTTTGCAACTAGGTACTTATATAAGACGTTTCGTTTGTATTCATAAAAGTTGTTCATTCTTCATCGATCCCGTATCGCTACATCCTATGCCACATTCTCGTGGAACGGAATTTAAAATATTGCTAGGAATTCGTTTATAAGAGTAAATATTCATTGGTGCTGTTATTTTTCCAGATGCTTCAAAGGTAAACATAACCGTCAAATTAACTTTAGAGTGATGCTCTGTTTGATATACATTTTTATTTCCCTTTACATCCAACACTCGTTTATTTTTGAAACACAAAAGGATGCAGGTTTCATCGCCATTTAAAACACGTGAAGGGTCTTGAAGAATATCAATATAACCTTTACGATGCAAGTATTCTTGAACACCAGTGAACCATTTTTTAAATCTTTTTCAGACACAACTGAACTTGCTGCCGTTACTGCTTTAAAAAGGATATGTACCAACCTCTTCCGGGCTGATTGTCAGTAAAAGGATTGGCACGTGGATTTGCGTCAAGAAAACCTTTAACTGAGTCTTGTATATCTTCCACTCTTACTGAAAAACCTTTGTCTTGGCATGTTATGATCCAATGCTTTAAACGATTCTCTTCCTCCAAACGAAGAATAGGATTGGGACCAAGGGTAGTTTTTTCATTAAATTTTTTTACTTGCTCTAAACTGCAATGTTGCTCTTGGCACATTAAATTGTTCAGCGGCTTTTCGTTGGCTTATGCCATTTTCTATGGCCTGAAAAGCAGACTGGAGTTCTTGTTGTGTATATTGTAAGTGATACGTTTTATCTTTCCGGATATTTGGCATTTTTAATTATAAAAATAAAAATAATTTATTAGTAATAATGTTAGCTACAATACGGACGTTCCAAATTTGATTTATTATGCCCACATTAGCAATAAATTAAAAAAAAACTAAAACAATTGTAATTTTATAAATACAAATCCGGACAAAAAACATATTTTTATTACACATTACAGTTATTGGCGACCCTGTGGTTTAGTGATTGGCAGTCGGCCAATTACTGGTTATTGCCTTAAAAAATAAGAAAAAATGTTTGAAATATCTTATCTTGGACCAAACTAGGCTAAAAATGTCTAAATTATAATAAATATTTTAATTCAAAGTAGGTACAGTTGTTGCAGTTTCGCAATTGTAAATAAACAATTTCGCAAATAAACATTTGTAAATGTACTTTTTAATACGTTAAGACTATTTAATAGTTTCTATTCTCCTCGTATATTTTAAAACCAGATTTGCGTGTAAGTGACACAGCCGTTTTAAGGGCTAAAGATTGCAAGGCGGGCCATCTGCCCAATAACACCACATGTGTGTGGTACCTTAGATAGGGGATGCATTACAAACACAAAAACAGAAGTCGAAATGCATCTCTCAACCGATGCACATGTGTATGTTGAAGACGAAGAGTACCTGATTCCGCATCGGCCAAGAAAGACGCTAATGTGCATCACAACTTTGGTAGTTGAAGTGTCGCTGAAGACATAATTTGCGATAGCGTTGGAGCTATCTTTTTCATGGGATAAGAAACAATACACCATATTAATTTGTTGCTGCATATATTAAGTAGCACTTGGTATATTTATTTGATATTTGGAACTTCATCGTATTTGTGCCGCGATCGAGATTGAACATTGTTAATTGGACATTTTGCATTTGTTTCGGTTTATTTACTGTATTGTATATTTTTTCGTGTATTTTGTTAACACCGATTTTATTTCTTGTATGTTTTGTTTTAATAATTGTACTTATTAATTATTTCAATATAAGGTTGAATGTTCGAATAATTAAACTTTAAGGGTATACACTATACAAGGCAACTATCGAACACGGTGATTAATTTAATCTTGCCCAAGTACTTTCAATCAATAGATCATCTTCAGGGGCATTTCGTCACTTCAGGGCATTCTATGTTGTATAGAAGCCGGAGACAGAATGGACAGAATGGACATCTTGGCATTGTGAGCCAAGATTCTTGTCGTCTCAATTCAAAGACAATTTTAAACAATCTAATAACTTAGATTTTGCGACCATAATTGGGTCAAAAGTTTCTAGAGTGGCATTACACCCATCTCTAGATTTAGCATTCGGGGTACATATGTTTAAAATGTACTCATATCTTTCTCGTTCTCGAGTAAAGGCATTTGTGTTTTGTTTTATCAGAAACGTTAGTAAAAAGCAAGCTGAATTGCTTATTGCTCAAGACTTAAAAAGTCTCTTGTTTCCTAGTACGTTGGAATCGTTGCCATTCGGTATTGCCAATCCGGATAATCAGTTGTATATTCCGAATTAATTTTCAGAGGAAATTATTCACCGTGCGAAAGTTAGCGGTGTGTTGAGGAATACTACTATTCCTAATGCTCAAAAGCATCCATTTTTTCTTTCTTCGAACAATCTAGTTGTTTTAAAGATGTTCGAAACACGCGTATGGTTGGGACATGTAAGACACCAAGGTACGTCCAAGTTTAGACATCATTTCGGACTTAGTTGTTGCACATTTTATAATGTTGAGAGTCCCTTATATCATTGTGTTGTGTGTTCGAGATGTCTGTTTATTGCCATAGATTATGGGATATATTTTTTGCTTAAAGCTTGCGTAGCTTTATTTGTTCATGTATTTGCGCCACGTTATATTAACATAACAGTTTTAACGTTTGGGTAGTTAAGACATTTTCTTTTAACATTGTACGATTCTTTAAAGTACAAAGAATTCTTAGAAGTCACACCACTTTTGTTTTTTGTTCGTTTCAAAATTGCCTTTTTATGTAAAAAAGCCTTGGTTATTGAATAGTATAATGTTCGTATTTTATAGTTCTTTAGTACTTTATTTATTGTAATTTGATTTATTCTCATTTTCTAAGTCTACTCCTAACTTAGAATTAGTCGCTGCATTTTTACAAAAGGGTGCTGAATCTCAACGTGATACATAATTTGGTTACTGCTCTTCAAATTATCATAGTTATCTTTTAGGGATACAGCTTATGGAAGCTGTATCCCTAAGCTGTAACTGGAAAGTTTTGGACAAGAATTGATTTTATTAATGGCCAGTCTTTACAGCTGTATACAGAAATAATTTCTCTTTCTTTAATTTTGTTCATAATTCCTCGGGTAAGCATGTGGATTTGAAAATGTTCGGGATTTGTATG